GAACAAAGTTTGAAGATAATGATAAAAAGTACGTAATATTTTCAGTTAGATAATTCAAAAAGAATCTTTCCCACTAGTTGTTTCCGTGTTCTTTGTAAGCACATGACGAATGTCCTCTTTATCCCATAATCTACTACGTTTTCCAGGCTCTTCAATGCATTCTCTCTTAACAATTTGTCGACCCATTTCTTGTAACAAATAATGCATTTCTACCGTGTTGAAATCTGAAATTTTTATCAGTGATTTATCAAGGAGAACACTTATTCCGATAGTTGGTTTGAAACCACAACCATCTAAAATTCTATTACATATTCTCTACATCTCCTTTAAAGAAACACGCGAGATCAAGAAATATTTTCTTTTCTGTTTCTTCTAAAGTACGAAACTTATTTAAGCTTATCCAAATTTCTTATTAGGATCTCTTTCAGTCTTTTAATGGTGTCCATCCATTCACTGTAGTTCTACCAAACAAAAAGGAACCTAATACTCAAAGCTAATGGAACCGCCAACATACTTATAACACGTTGGGACACCTTCAATAATCTTCTAAAGGCTGTTTGTTTTTAAAGGCTTCCAAATAAGAAGTCAAGAGCTTCGTCATGATTAGGTTCTTTAGCCTCATAAATTTCATCAACCTCATGGCTCATCAACAGATGTTTATTTCTTGTTGTTATTATGATCCTACTTCCTACCCAAACCATCACGTTTTCCAACTAAATTGTTTAGTTGGTCAATATGATCCACATCATCTCAAACAACAGAACTTTTTGTGAGACAACTTTCTCTTATCTCTTTAATTCCATCATACTCATGCTATGTTATTATCTCTTCCTAGAATTTTCAAAAGAAGTTGCCTTTGAAAGTAACCAGGCCACTTTTCCTTGAAATTCCCGGACATTGGCAAGAAAACACTCCCTTCAAATTGATGTGAAAACACTCATAAAAACTCTTGCAATTGTCGTTTTGCCAATTCCTCCCATTCCACATATCCTATCATGCGAATATCGTTGAACCCTGTACCTATCAGCAACTTAAGTCCTCAAGGCGAGAATTTATTCCTACTAGGCCCTCAGAGTATCATCAATGTTTGTTAGACTTAATTTAATTGATATTTCTTTGACAATATCTTTTATGATTGATTCATGTCTGCAATGAAAAGAGACATAGTAGTGGTCAATGTATGACCAAAAAAAAAAAAAAAAAATCCATTTAACTTCACAAATAGGAAGTTTCCCTTCTTTTCAATAGACTTCCTCTGAATTTTAGCCTTCAATACTATCGAATCATATTATAACTGGCTTAGCTGTTATTTAATGATCTCTTAATCTGAACTTTGAATTAACTAATATAAGATATGATGGTGGTTAATAAAAAAAAAAAAAAATCAAAGAAAGATCAAGCAATCACCACTTCAGTCTTATGAAAAAAATTATTCCTCATAACTGGTTAAGTACCGTGAGAAACATTATGACATATATATAAAACAAAAACAAAAATTGTTACCTGTTCTTTGCATCCCATCCGAGAGATTAGCAACCTCTGTTAAAGCATTCTTCCATTTTGAACCTTTTGCTTATTCTCACTAAAAGTTTCTTCATGTTTAGCGAAGGCTTCCCAAATGCTCCTGTTTGTTTCCTTACAACAGATGGATCCACATCATAAAAAATGGGAAAAACATTCTGTTCCCTTGTGTTCTTAAATCAACAATCTTAGCAGTTTCTCCAAACACCAAGTTGAAGAACTAGTTTCTTGAGAAACAATAATGGAAACCTTGATTCTTCAATTGCTTGAAGGAGCTCTCCTAAATGGGTTTTCCTCTCTCAAGTACTTCATCATCTCTAAAAACAATAACTCCTTCTGATCAAGGCATCATATAGATGATCTGTGAAATTCTTCCCGAGTGTCTTCACCTCTGAAGCTTAAAGACGTCAATTCCAAGAGAAGCATAAGTGGAGTATCGAGGAGATTTTTTGATGCTCATAATGGATGCAGTAGTTGATTTTCAAGCTCTCTTGTTGCAATGTTAACCAGCAGAATTGGAAACATATATAAGTAACTAACTTATATATTTTTGAAGGAATCTTAATTTGTAAACAAACTAAAATACATGCATCTCAAAACCCATTAAATTTTTAAACTCTCTATTGTATAAGATCTGCGAAGTTAAAAGTAGATCAACGAATATATTTTGTTTGCAAGAAATTAATGATCGAAATTAAAAAAAATATACTCTGTATGCTTCTAATAAATTATTATGTTAAAATTAAAATAGAAAGTAGAGAAGAAACTTACACAATGTTGAGGAGTAAAGTTTGATATAAGAGCTTCAAAGAAAGCAATTAGTTTTGTTTTCAATGGAAGAAGAGAAGCTTTCTGTGTTCAAAGTGATGAACTCAACAAGTTCTTCTCTTACTTTACTCTCTTTCACATTCTCACAGAATATATGAAGAGCTTTCCACGTAGTTTTGCAATATACTTTATTAAAGTCTGGTTCAGTCCCTTCTTTTCTAAGTTAATTAATGTCTTGCTTTTCTCTTTTTGACTTAGACATTGATAATATATAAGATTTTTATCTATGAAATTTTATATACTATATAAATAATACTTCTTTTTTTCCTCCTTAATTATACAGGAATTTTCGGTGCAATAAAGTGAAAAGTCACATAATCCCTCCTTTTTCTCTCGTCACATACCTACAAAGAAGAAATCAAGAATCTTCCATGTTGCTTCGCAATAACCTCTTATTAAAGTTTTTACTTCGTCGATCCTCCCTTCCTTTTTTTTTTTTCGATAATTATGACTTAGACTTATAATCAAAGGTCTTTTTTTCTTTTCTTTTCCTTTGCTATTCGCTCTTTTAACTCCATTACACTTTGATGAATATAATTAAGAGTGGTTCTACTATACCAGCTAAATATACAAAGTGATTAGAAATGATTGATTTTTGTGGTATGAATAAAATATTTATTAAAATTTATATATTTTTTTTAATGTCTAATTAGAAATTTAAAAACATTGCTATAATTTTATTAACGTTTTAAATTATAAATTAGTTAATAAATAGATTATTTATAAAATTTCACAGTACCATATAAAAAATAATATTTATCTTATTAATTTGAAAATTATTATAATCAAATATAAATAATAATTATATAAAAAGAAGAAAAGAGTAGCTTAATCCCAATGGCACCAGAATATCCTCATCCCAATGGTATTTATTCATAAAACAGTTTCTTATGAAGTGGTTTCTTGAACGTTATTTACTTGATTAAAGAAAGTCATATATAAAATTGCTATAGGTCCCAAATTCATGCAATTCTAACACCTTGTATCCATCGCTAGAATTGCTTTTGAATCAGAAGATCCCGTGAAGATGTTAGTTTTGAATATCTTGCTATTGGTTGGAGTTTAGTGTTAGTTATAAATTATTTTTTCTGCTTTTGCTAAATTCGGTTCTCTGATTTTGTAAACATTTAAATGCATGAGTTTTCACGTGGTATCAGAACACATCTTTTCCTTCACTTAACGTTTTCTTTGACATTGTTTAATTGATCTTTATTTTTTTTTATTATCAACGATACATGTTCTGTATTTATGCCAAAAATTCAAGCATGTTGATAATTTAATTTGAATGAAATTATATTTGATCATACATTAAATTTTGACGTTATTGCTTGGTATATTATATTACAAAATTTCATAAATAAATATCACTTATTATATATAAAAAAAAAATTCAGTAATCTTATAGGTTTCATAGGCTAAACTACAATATGAATCCCTTGTCTGTATATATTATTTTTTAGTCAAGTTAATTTTCAAATTAAGAAGAGAAAATATAATTGTGAATTTTGGAATGTGGAAGATGAATGGTTGAATTCTTGTTGCCTATTTTTATTTTAAATATCTGTTTTTGTTTTATTATTTTGAGTAGTATTTTTGAAATATTGTTGTTAAGTTGAGTTGAGTTATTATTGCGAGGTAAGATTTGGAAATTAAGAAATAAAACCTTTAGGTTTGTTAATTTAGCTAAATAACCCCAATAATAAAAAGTTTATAAATTGACAAAAACACCCCTGTCCACCAACAATTGCTAGATTATGGTCACAACCGTCAGAATCTGGATGGAATCTTGTTTCATTGCGCACGACTAACTAGATCTAGCCAGTCGTGCGTCGCTATGGTCTTTTCCGGCTAGATGCACCACAGATCTGGCTGAAAAAAGTCAGATATACGGTTGGATTTGGCCTTTGACGGTCAAAGATATGGTCGTAGTTGACAGTCAATAACGGCCATACATTAGCCGTCATTGATGGTTAGATGTGACCAAAGAAGGGCAGATCTTTGGCTGGAAATGATTTAGCCGAAAAAGGTCAGATCGATACATTACTAGCTAGATCTAGTCTGTAGTGTATCATTACGCTAGATTCTGGCTACCTTCTGATGGTGATTGTCAGAATCTAACAAATATTGGTAGATGGGGGTGTTTTTGTCAATTTATAAAAAAAATTTGTTGGGGATGTTTAATTAAATTAATAAACTTATGGAGGTTTAAAATAATTGAATATTATAGGATATGATTTTGAGAATATGAAAACAAAAATGTATTTTTTCACAATAGGAATAAAGTATTTTAAAAATAGCCAAATAAATTTTCTCGTACCCGGGTTTGGGATCTGAAGAAGACGCGCTGACGCGGTAACCAGGCTGTCATTTTTATTTTTCTTCTTTTTTTAAAAACACGTAAAGGTAAATCCCTAAAATAGAAAATCACCCAAATCAAATCTAACTCCCTAAGCCTATATTCACCACCGCCAGCGCCTCCCATCTCATCACAGTCTCGCCGGTGATCGTGACTCATTAGGCTGCTCTTCGTGGCCGCCGTTCAATTCATCGTGAATCACCATCTTCGCATGCGCTACCGGCGGTGAAAACCGTGTACAAATCTTCACTTTTAGTTTTTTTTTTTTTTTTTTTTNTAGGAAGCAATTCACTCAATGGTGTGATCCCTTCGGCGAATTTTGCAACTCTGGAAAAATTAACTTACTTGGAGCTGGACAACAATAGCTTCACTGGAATGATACCTCCAGAACTGGGTGATTGCCAAACTTTGACGCCGTTGAACTTGGCTCAAAATAAGCTGAATGATTCATTGCTGGCACAATTGGGTAATCGCAGCAGTCTTCAAGTTATGAAGCTCTAACTTAACAACCTAAGTGGAGACATCCCTTTTCAGTTTTCCCAGCTAAAGACTTTGTCTCAATTAAACATTAGCTGGAATTCGCTGACTGGTTCAATACCTTCTTTCCTTTTCCAAGTTGCAAGAGCTTACAAACTTGAACTTACAAAACAACTATCTCAGTGGTTCCATGCCCAACTCTATTGGGAACATGAATTCTTTGATAGAACTCCAACTTGGAGAAAATAAGCTAAGTGGCCGAATTCCATCGTTGCCAGTGAAATTGCAGATTGCTTTGAATCTGAGCATCAATCAGTTAGGGTGCACCTCTGGTCCAATTCTCCTCCTCGATCTTTCAAGTAGAAACATTATGCTTAAGTCACTGAAAGAACCACACCTTGGAGATATTGAACTCTGCAAAGTGATTGACCCCTTAAAGAGGATTGGCAGTCTTTCCATGCTTGCTGGTTTTGTCGGTTATATTCCTCCAGGTAAACTCTCTCTTTTGTTTTTATAGCTAAAGAATTGCTCAAACCAAGTATAGCTTTTATATTCACGAAAATTTTTAGGCACATTGGCTATCATATGCATTTGATGCATAATTTAGCACATAACGTACGATTTAGCAATTCATAAACCTGTCTTAAATCTGAAAAAGGTAAAATAGGTGATAAAATATTCTTTTAGGCATATTAGCATCACCAGTTCAGGATACTTACCCTTGGATCTCATTACTCATGATCTTTATTCTTTTATCATTCATAAATTTGCAATCAGATAGATAACTAATTTTCTTTTTTAGTTTTCTGTATTTGAGATTATTGCAGAGTATGCCTACACGATGGGAGTAACAGCGGCTGGGAACGTTTACGGCTTCAATGTTATTCTCCTGGAGTTGCTGACCAGAAAACCTCCAATTAGCGAGGGTACTGAGTTAGCCAAGTTGGTGTTACACAACTGGGAACATGAAGATGTTAATATCAACGTGGCTTCACTTGCTATCAAAAACCAGATGCTTGCAGTCCTGGAGGTTGCTATTGCTTGTGTTAGTGTCTTACCAGAAGGAAGGCCAAAGATGAATGTTGTCTCAATTTATTTCTCCATCGTCCATCCTCAAATAATAATAATAATAATAGATAAATAAATAAAAAAGAAAAAGTTAATTATCTGATAACAAGTTACAACATATAAAATTAACAAAATCATAACTTTCAAATAAACAACATAAACACAATGCAGCATTGACAGCAAAGCCTTGGCACTAAAGGTGGAAAAGTAACCCGTCGCGCCGGGCCTGGCCTGTGGCGGGTTACTTTGTTTGGCGGGCCGGGCCTAACCCGCCCGCCGGGTTAGGTGGCGGGCTAGGCCAGGTTAGCCCGATTTTCTTATTTTTTTTTATTTAACTTTTCAAATAAATAATTATAAATATAATTGTTTTTAATTAACTTTTCAAATATCAATAATTCAATTCAATTTTTTTGTTTGTTAACATTTCAAATATTAATTCAATTTTGATACAATAAAATTATAATATAAGAAAAATTAGACTTATTCATTTATCAAAAAATAAAATAANGCCGGCACAATTGGGTAATCGCAGCAGTCTTCAAGTTATGAAGCTCTAACTTAACAACCTAAGTGGAGACATCCCTTTTCAGTTTTCCCAGCTAAAGACTTTGTCTCAATTAAACATTAGCTGGAATTCGCTGATTGGTTCAATACCTTCATTCCTTTTCCAAGTTGCAAGAGCTCACAAACTTGAGCTTACAAAACAACTATTTCAGTAGTTCCATACCCGACTCTATCGGGAACATGAATTCTTTGATAGAACTCCAACTTCGAGAAAATAAACTAAGTGGCCGAATTCCATCGTTGCCGGTGAAATTGCAGATTGCTTTGAATCTGAGAAGAAATCAATTAGGATGCACCTCTGGTCCAATTCTCCTCCTTGATCTTTCAAGTAAAAACATTATGCTTAAGTCACTGAAAGAACCACACCTTGGAGATATTGAACTCTGCAAAGTGATTGACCCCTCAAATAGGACTGGCAGTCTTTCCACGCTTGCTGGTTCTGTCGGTTATATTCCTCTAGGTAAACTCTCTCTTTTGCTTTTATAGCTAAAGAATTGCTCAAACCAGGTATAGCTTTTACATTCACGAAAAATTTTAGGCACATTGGCTATCATATGCATTTTGATGCATAATTTAACACATTACGTACGATTTAGCAATTCATAAACCTGTCTCAAATCTAAAAAAGGTAAAATAGGTGATAAAATATTCTCTTAGGCATATTAGCATCACCAGTTCAGGATACTTACCCTTGGATCTCATTACTCATGATCTTTATTCTTTTATCATTCATAAATCTGCAATCAGATATATAACTAATTTTCTTTTTTAGTTTTCTGTATTTGAGATTATTGCAGAGTATGCCTACACGAAGGGAGTAACAGCGGTCAGGAACGTTTACGACTTCAGAGTTATTCTCCTGGAGTTGCTGACCAGAAAACCTCCAATTAGCGAGGGTACTGAGTTAGCCAAGTTGGTGTTACACAACTGGGAAGATGAAGATATTAATATCAACGCAACTTCACTTGCTATCAAAAACCAGATGCTTGCAGTCTGGAGGTTGCTATTGCTTGTGTTACCAGAAGGAAGGTCAAAGATGAATGTTGTCTCAATTTATTTATCCATCGTCCATCCTCAAATTTTAATAATAATAAATAAATAAATAAATAAAAGTTAATTATCTGATAACAAGTTACAACATATAAAATTAACACAATCAGAACTTTCAAATAAACAACATAAACACAATGCAGCATTGACAGCGAAGCCTTGGCACCACAAAATCATGATCAATTAAACTCAACAAAATCTTCATTCTCATACACAGGATGGACTCCAACCCTTTTCACAGCATTGTCATGCCATAACGGAATTATGAGCTTGGGATAATTAAATCCTTTGATTTCCTTATCAGGGATATAGAATAGCCAAAGGTTATCTGACTCTGGCAGCCGCGAGTCAACATCACAACTTATTGACTCACAAGACAGGAAAACAGTACAATCGTCACCCACACGACACAATTTTTGCGGTGATCAGGAGAAATCTTACGGTCACAAAATTTAAAGCACACAACATATCCCACCAACTTGCTATTATTATTGTTCAAATCTGGCGGCTTTTCTATTTCTATTAGCTCACCGTCACTCTTATGCTTGAACCACTCTGAACTTCACTGTCCCTCTTATGCTTGAACCACTCTGGAACTTCACTGTCCCTCTTATGCTTGAACCACTCTGGAACTTCACTTCCTGGAGCAACTATGCTAAATGTATTACTTGGATTTGTCAGCTGTACCCAAAATAAAACAAAGCTTCTGTGAGATAGGAAAAAATAGACATGTAGCATAATGTAAATACTAGGATTTATTCGGTTATTAATTGTAGAAAGGAAATGTAATAATACTAATAATAATATTGATAAAATCAAAATCGTGACCATATATTTGTAAATAAAATTAGACAGATAATACAAGATCTAATTCGAAAAAGAGAGAAAGTGACAGACCTTGAGGTATTCCTTCATAATTGAAAATGCCTCACCACTACCATCGAGTTTCAAGCAATTGTGAGATGAAATATCTGACAAATTCGAATTGCATAATCTTAATGCATTAGATAATCTTTCCAGGGAAATGCAACCATTTACTTCAAGTCGACATATATTGGAAGGAAGTTCTGGCAGAATTTGAAGCCTCGTGCAATAGTTCAACCCAATAATTCCAAGGTTAGAAAGACGATTGATGCTACCAGGTTACGAAACCAAATTGTTTTGGCTTAGATCTAAATCCTCCAATGAGATGAAGCTTCCAAGCAAATCACTGGTTATTGCTCCTTCCCCAAGATTACAAACACGAAGACACAACATTGTAACATAACGCAAATTAGATGGCAAAGAAGGCAATATTAAAGTCATGGGATTTGAACTTCTCAAAAAATGATTTTGATGGTGATCCTTCGCGTCCACAAAATTTTAATTCTGAAAGATTCTTTTTAGGAAAAAGGAATGACACTTGCTGTCTTATAGCAGTTTTATGTAAATGGAGAATACGCAAACTTTGTATTTGCCCCAAAGTATCTGGTATACTTTCAAGTTTGGAGCAATCAGAGACAATGAGACTTCGAAGAGATTCCAAACCATTTATTGTATTTGGGAGACTCACAAGTCCGGAGCAATCAGCGAGGAATAGAGATTGAAGAGATTTCAAGCCATCTATAGTACTCGGAAGACTCACAAGTCTCGAACAATAAGAGAGAGACAAGGTTGAAAGAGATTTCAAGCCATTTATAGTGCTTGGAAGACTCGAAAGATTTTTGCATCTTTCTAATTTCAAGTATACAAGTCCAGATAGAAGCTCAACAGACACAGGCAATTCTTCAATGGCAGTTTCATTTAAAGAAAGCTCGAAGAGGCACTCCATACTTCCTATAATCTCTGGAAACCTCTCCAATTTTGAGCAACCAGAAAGCACAAGACTTTCAAGAGATTCCATATGAATCTTGTTTGGAAGAGTTTTGAGATTTGAACAATGTCCCAGATCCATCCGTTTAATCTTTTTATGAGCTAGTAAAGATGGGTGAATCTCACACAATCTTGAACATCCTCTGAGAATCAAATCTTCAACATTTGGGATCTCCGTGAAGTCTGGTGTTTTGATCAGACTCTTGCAATTTATGAAACTCATAGATTTCAACATGTATAAAGGCTGTTAAAATTGAAGGGAAAGAAAAAACGCATTTCTTAAGTTAATTACCACATTAATTAAATGATGAATGCATAAAGATATTCAATAATTATTAACTAAAAAAATAAAAAAAAATAAAAAAAGTATTAAGTGAATTATCTTACTTTGATCCCCTTCCATAGTTGTCTGATGTGGCTACCGTCCATTTTAAGTTCAACAAGTTTATTCAACTGAAGATTTGATGGCAATGATTTTAAAGGGTATCCATCCCAATCGAGTAATCTTAACTCATTGGAAAGATACTCAAGACCTTCGGGAAGTTGTACTCTACGAATCTTGAGCAATCTTAGGTTGACCATCTTTGAGAAGGCTTTAGCACTTGCAGTACTTGCCCTGAAATTGAACTTTTTTCCAAGTATTATGGCTTCAACTAGCTCACTCCCCTAAAGAATTGAGATAAAAAAAATGAGTGTCAAACAAAATTAGAGACAAAGATAAAAGAACATATATATCTATAGATATAATTGGTTAAAAATTGAAAGGGGGAAAAAAATCTTTCCCACTAGGTGTATACCTTGTTCTTTGTTAGCACATGACGAATGTCCTCTTCATCCCATAATCTACTGCGTTTTCCAGACTCTTCCATGGATTCTCTCTTAACAGTTTGTTTACCCATTTCTTGTAACAAATCATGCATCCATAGTTCATTGAAATTTGAAATAGTTATAAGAGATTTTTCAAGGACAACACTTAATCCAATAGTTGGGTTAAAACCACAACCATCCAAAATTCTTGTTACATATTCTCTCTCCTCTCCTTTAAAAAAACATGCAACATCAAGAAATATTTTCTTTTCAGTTTCTTGCAAACCATCAAAACTTATTTGAAGTACATCCAAAATCTCCTTATTAGAATCTCTTTTGAGTCTTTTTAGTGAGTCAATCCATTCATCTATAGTTCTATCAAATAAAAATGAACCCAAAACCTTGAGAGCTAATGGAAGACCGCCAGCATACCTTACAACATGTTGGGACAACTCCAAATAGTCTTTTGAAGGCTCTTGGTTTTCAAAGGCTTTCGAGATGAGGAGTTCAAGAGCTTCATCACAATTCAGTTCTTTAGCTTCATAAACTTCATCAACCTTGTGAGTCATCAACAAATGTTTATCTCTTGTTGTTATTATGATCCTACTTCCTAAACCAAACCATTTACGTTTTCCAACTAAATTGTTTAGTTGGTCAATATGATCCACATCATCTATAACAACAAGAACTTTTTTGTGACGCAACTTTCTCTTTATCTCATTAATTCCATCATACTCATTGCATATGTTATTATCCCTTCCCCTTAGAATTTTCAAAAGAAGTTGCCTTTGTAAAGTAACCAAGCCACTTTTTCTTGAAATCTCCCTGACATTGGCCAGAAAAGCACTCCCTTCAAATTGATACAAAAACAAGTCATAAAAAACTCTTGCAATTGTTGTCTTGCCTATTCCTCCCATTCCACATATCCCTATCATGCGAATATCGTTAGACCTTGTACCTATCAACAGCTTAAGTTCCTCAAGGCGAGAATTTATTCCTACTAGGCCCTCAAAAGTCATCAATGTTGTTAGACTTAATTTAATTGATATTTCTTTGACAATCTCTTGTATGAATTCTGATTCATGTCTGCAAAAGAAAAAGAACAATAGTAGTGATCAATGTATGACAAAAAATTACTATATAACTTTACAAATACCAATTTACTCTGAATTTAGGTCTTTCGTTACCGTAGCTATCATATTATACATGGTCAGCTACTTAATGTAGGACCAACGTCTCTTAAACTTTGAATTGAGTAAATATAAGGACATGATTGGTAGTTAATAAAAGAGATTTTTTAAAGAATAATCAAACAATCACCATAGTCTAATGAAATTATTGATCTTTTAATAACTGGTTAATTACAGTAAAATACATTATGACACATTCATAACATGAGAAAGAAAAACTATTACCTGTTTTTCGCATCCCATCCAGAGAGATCGGCAACCTCTTTTAAAGCATTCCTCCATATTTGAACATTTTGTTTATTCTCCTTAAAAGTTTCTTCATGCTTAGCAAAAGCTTCATCAAACCATCCTGTTTGTTTCTTTACCATGGATGGATCCACATCATAAAAAATGGGAAAAACATTTTGTCCCATTGTGTTCTTACATTCAACAATCTTAGCAATTTCATGCAAGCATGAAGTAGAATTAGCATAGTTTTTTGAGAAGACGATAATCGAAAATCTTGATTCTTCAATTGCTCGAGGGAGCTCCAATGAAATGGGTTTTCCTCTATCAAGTTCTTCGGCATCTCTAAAAACATTAACTCCTTCTCGAGTCAAAGCAGCATATAGATGATCTGTGAAATTCTTCCGAGTATCTTCACCTCTAAAGCTTATAAAGACGTCATACCTCCAACGGGAAGAACAAATATGAGTGTGTGAAGAAGAAGCTGTTTGGATACTCATAGAAGCAATACGATTGACTGATCCAAGCTAATTTTTCCCAAGTTACACGTGTCGTCTATGCCTCTTGATAGAATTGAAAAAATAAGTAACTAATTTCTTTTTGACCATTTATATATTTTTAAGCGGAATATCATTTTTTAAACAAAAATGCATGCATCTCATATAGTTTTCAGCTATGATATTGTATAAAAGCTACTGAGAAATTAAACTTATATGAATACATTATGTTAGCAAGAAATTAAGGATTAAAATTAAAAGCATATATGCTCAACCCCCGTGTTAAAAAAAAAAACTGCATGCTTCTAATTATTCTATTCCACTCTCGAAAATCCTATATTAGGTGCATAATCATGCATATACTTAAAATAAAAATAAAAACAGAACAAACTTGCAGAATTTTGACATAAAGAGCTTCAAAGAAAGCTAATTGGCTGTGGTTTGATAGGAAAGCAGAGAACTTTTCTGTGTTATATAAAGAGATGAACTCAAGAAATTTCCCCGCTTTTTCTCTCTTCACAAACTTCACTAAGAGAGAAAAAAAAAAAAAAAAAAAAATCAAGACCCTTCCAAGCTGTTTCATCCTAACCTTTTTATTAAAGCTTCTACTTCATCTACGATTACATTTACCCCCTGGCATTTCGATCTTCTAAGTCCTAGTATTTTAAAAACTAGCATATACCCCCAAATTCTATCTGACGTTAAACGGAGTAAGGGCGAGACAAGCAATCACACACAAACATTACATTTATAAGAAAACAAATATTAATTAAAAATTTAAAACCTAAAAGAAAACACAACTGCAACGGCCGGTCTAATCACTAGACGAGATGAAACTAAACATAGATCGATGAATATATTTTGCTGCAAAAGATTACGGATCGAAATTAAAAGCATATATACTCAGCTTGCTTAAAACAATATATAACTGTATGCTTCTAATAAATTAATTATGTTCAAATTAAAAATAGAAAGTAGAGAAGAAACTTACACAATGTTGATGAGTAAAGTTTGATATAAGAGCTTCAAAGAAAGCAATTAGTTGTGTTTTCAAAGGGAAGGAAGAGCATCAAAGAAAGCAATTAGTTGCGTTTTCAAAGGGAAGGAAGAGGAGCTTTTTGTGTTACAAAGTGATGAACTCAACAAAGTTCTTCTCTTACTTATACTCTCTTTCACATTTTCTGCAGAAAATATATGATCCAGAACTTTCCACGTAGTTTTGCAATAGGTTTTATTAAAGTCTCGTTCAGTCCCCTCTTTCCTAAGTTAATAATTAATGTCTTGCTTTTCACTTTTTGACTTAGGCTTTGGTAATATGTAAGATTTTTATCTATGAAAATTTTATATACTAATTAATAATTAACACTCTCTTGAACATATAAAATAAATAAATAAACTAACTTTTTTTTTCTCCTTTAATTATACAGGAATTTTCTGTGCAATAAAGTGAAAAAGTCTCATAATTTCCCCTCTTTTTCTCTCGTCACATACTCTACAAAAAGAAGAAATCAAGAATCTTCACGTAAGTTTAATTCATTATTCTGATAGTTTTTAAAATAATATTTTAAAAAAAGTTAAATTAGATGGATATTACAATATAGGATTTGAAAATTAACAAAAATATCTGCTATGTTTGTTTATTTACTAAACACCCGTATAATAAAATATTAAAAATTAACAAACATACCCCCAATCCACCCATTAAATACGGACAGCCGACCACCACTGCCGGAGGGTAACCGAAGTGTTTTTACAATTTCTAAAAAAAATATTTAGGGGTATTTAATTAAATTAACAAATTTAAGAGGTTTAAAAGAAATTGAAAAATATAAAATAATATTTTAAGAATAATGACATTTTACTGTTTAACTTTTTTGGGACTACTAATAATATCATTTTAAAAAATGAAACAAACGAAGCCTTCCATGTTGTTTCGCAGTAACTTCTTGTTAAAGTTTTTACTTCATCGATGCTTCCCTTCTCTTATTTATTTATTTATTTATTTTTTAATATTAATTTTGACTTAGACTTAATAATCAAAGGTTTTTTTTTTTTCTTTTCTTTTCATTCTTCTAACTCCATTATTATTTGATGACTATAATTAAGAGTTGTTCTACATATACCATTTAAATATACAAAGTGATAAGAAATAATTGATTTTTGTTGTATCAATATGTGGGGTTTTGTAGAGAATAGGTTAAAAATTCAAATGATAATGGTGAAGAGAATTTTGCCATCAAAATTAGTTTTAGATAATAACATGATATTAATTTTAAGTGAATAAGTGATATTTCAAAAAAAATTTGGATAAAAAAGTGTCATTAAAGCAAAGGAAAAAGGTCTTTTACTTGCAAAATAAGAAAGCTTACAAGAAATTATAAAATTGACAAAAAATTATACTTTTTCTCTGAAGGCCCGAAAGTCATTTTAAATCAAACAAATTTGCCAACGCGTTTTCTGCGGTCAAAGTGGGCTCCTTGACAATGACTTAAATTTAATGCCCTTTTTTTTCTCCAGTCCACACTCCACACAAAATACTTTTGGATATAAAATTTAGAGTCCTACTATATATAATATGTTATACTTGATCGTAACTAAATATCCACTATTGATTTTATAATATACTATATAACGTCATTTTCCAAGTAGAACGTACTAAAATTAAATTTATTATGATCATACTTAATCATTGTTAAATTCATCTATTGATATAATATTTTACAATTAAGATTCAATAGTACTGACAAACATATTTACTTGAGAATTATTTATATTATATAATCATACCTTTTTACTAAGAGTCTTAAAATTTTTTAAATTCGGTTGATATTTTGTTTTTCAATGCATTTGTGAATCGTAATGTTGGAATATATGTTAGGATAGAAAAATCAACATATTTGGACTAAAAATTTTGAAAATAGAAAAAAGAAAAACAGTAATAATAATAATAAAGCTAAAAAAAGTTTGGTATTGTGACAAAACCCTATTATAATAAGTTAGCATAACATGGCTATTGTATATTATGAGTAAAATAAAAATTTTAATGTTTAACAATTATAATAACATAGATTTAATAATAGACTAATGTATTTTGAGTATCGATAAACACTATTATTAATGTCTATTAATTTTGACATGTTAAATTCAATTTTTGAAGTTGAAAAACATTAATATATGTTATAAAATTATCTCATAAACTCTCTTCATTTAAATTTTGGAAATAGTAAATCAAATTATGAGAAAATTAATTTCGAAATAAATCATACACTAAACTACGTAAATTTTAAGATAAGAGGTGGATATATTTTTTTGTATCAACATTAGGGAGTTTCTATATATTTGTGAACAAAGCTAAACGTTAAATCAAAAAGATATTTCAAAACAATTTGATAAATAACGATATCTTAAAAAAGATTAAAAAAAAAAGTCATTATATATAAGATTTATTATGAAATCGGTCCGAAAATATTACTGGACTAATATTTGATTATAAATAAGGATGTTTGTATAACATATAATCAATATTATAGTTAATATAAACTATTTTTTTTTTTTAACTATCAATATAATTTTTTTTTATTTTCTATCTTACTGAAACACAAAACATATAATCATATAAAACTAGAACAATTAAACTTTCGTTATATAAATTTTTTTAACACAAATTAGTGACAAATTATTATCTTTTGATCCAGTACAATCCTATGTGAGTAAATGAAAATTTAAATATAATTATATTTCAACCCTCTTCATTAACTTTACAATGAATCATTATTGATTAAAGATTAAGAATTTGTATTATAGATTTTCGTTGAAATTTTGTATTGAAAAATTATGTTATAATACTGTAGATGCAAAAAATCTACCGTCATGAAAATAGGGTCTGATCTCGTAAGGTTGAGGCCACTGACAATCTGTTGGACCTACACACATGAAAGGGCAAACGTGAAGCTTCCGGAAAACACCGGAGTGGTGTTTGCTGTAGGCACTCTGACGCTTAAGTTAGCAAGGCTGAAAGAGATTATTTAATAAGAATTAAGGAGAAGAAGAATTATCAGGAGTCTTGTCAGAGGCTGGGACTACGGCGGAGACATCTGGTTCTTGGGAGCAAGAACTTTAGGAGCAAATAGATGGTTTTGAGTAGTGTAGATTGACTATGAGAGATTGCCTCCCTAATGAGAGGGCAAGCCTCTGTTTTTATAGTGAACCCAAGGGGTTGGAATCCTAGTAGGACATTGAGTCCTCTTTTTTGGGAGATAATCCGTATCATGAAAGAGATACAATTTCTTGACCTTATTAGATTCAGTTTAATAGTTTAAGTAAGACTAGGAATCTTAGTAGAAGAGGAAATAAAATGGGATTCTGATTCCCTATTTATGGACTGTTGCAGGCTAATGGGCTGAAACCTAGTTTAGCTTAACTTATATGATAGCCCAACTCATAGAGTGGGTAGTTCACAAGGTGATTTTAAGCGTAGGCTCAATCGGGATTGGGTTGAGGCCTTGGGCCATAACATGTTTATTTCGTTATTGGGCATTGTCAAGCCTAAGATGATTTTTGGCCCTAACAGTTAGCCCTCCACTCTCTAAGTTAAAGAGCATTTAGCTTAGAGAGTAGATTTAATCGAATAAGTACAAACTGAGCGGATTAGTGATAGCAACTCGTTAGGTCAGATGGACCGTTGTATGGATTGGGTCGATGACTTGTCAATTTGAGGTGTAAACTTATTAATCGGTTTGGGCCGATCAAAGGTATAAACTTATGAATCAGTTTAGGCCGATCGAAGGTGTAAACTCATGAATCAGTTTAAGCAGATCGAAGGTGTAAACTAGTGAATCGGTCTGAGCCGATTAAAGGTGTAAACTCGTGGATCAGTCTGGGCCGATCGAAGGTGTAAACTCATGAATTAGGTTGGGCCGATCGAAGGTGTAAACTCATGAATCGGGCAAGGCCGATTGAAGGTGTGAACTCTTGAATCGGGTTGGGCCGATCGAAAGTGTAAACTCATAAATTAGGTAGGGCCGATCCGAAGGTGTAAGCTCGTGAATCGGGTAGGGCCGATCCGAAGGTGTAAGCTCGTGAATCGGACAGGGCCGATTCAAAGGTGTAAGCTCGTGAATCGAGCACGGTTGATCCGAAGGTGTTAATTCGTGGATCGAGCAAGGTCGATCCGAAGGTGTCAATCCGTGGATCGAGCAGGGTCGATCCGAAGGTGTCAATCCATGGATCAAGCAGGGTTGATCCGAAGGTGTAAATCCGTGAATCGGGCAGGGCCGATCCGAAGGTGTGAATATGTGGATCGAGTAGGGTCGATCCGAAGGTATAAATCCGTGGATCGAGCAGGGTCGATCCGAAGGTATCAATTCGTGAATCGGGCAGGGCCGATCCGAAGGTGTAAATCCGTGAATCGGGCAGGGCCAATCTGAAGGTGTGTATCCGTGGATCAAGTAAGGTCGATCTGAAGGTGTGTATCCGTAGATTGAGCAGGGTCGATCTGAAGGTGTAAATCTATGAATCGGGCAGGGCCGATCCAAAGGTGTGAATCCATGGATCGAGTAGGATTGATCCTAAGGCGTAAATCTATGAATCGGGCAGGGTCGATTCGAAGGTGTATGCCAAGTAGAGCTTGTATGGAGCTTGTGGTCAAGTCGGCATGACCGACTTTGTAGTTGAAAACATTGGATTAAAGTTGGAGCAGTGACACGCATGGCATGCATGTTTTAAGCAAAGAGCCGAATGGAGCTCAATTGTAGACTTGGCAAAATGGGTTCAGACCCGCGAGTCGGCCCATACCCGGGTAAAAAATATAGGGTATGGGTCCAATATATTGAACTTGTTTTTTTGAACCCGTACCCGACCTAACCCGTATAACTGATGGGTTATATGGGTGAACCCGCGGGTACCCATTTTTGCAACTCCCTAACCCCCTACCCTAACTCAGCAACTCAACTCTATCGTGCCTCTCATCTCTCTCGCCTCTCAATCTTCAACATAACATTCTCTCCCGCCTCTCAATCTCTAATTCATTCATCCCTCTTAATCTTTGCCATCTTCTTCGGAGCTCAACTCCCTCTTCGATTTGTCACTCGTCAGTTATCAGTACGGCAGTACCTCAC